CCCCAAAACCCCAAAACCCCAAAACCCCAAAACCCCAAAACCCCAAAACCCCTATTTTAGATTCGGATATTGAAAGATATGAGCCGAATATATTGGTTAATCTTCTTTCCCACCTGAAAAAAGTCTCTTGAAAAACTCTTTAATATCTGGGCCTAGAGCAATAGTGCAGCAACCTAGAATAAGTTAGGAAGAAATTTAAATGAAGAAGATTAGAATATAGCGTTTAGAAGGCTAGACAAATGGTTGAGTGAAAACTATAGTTCCAGAATATAACTACAGCCTGATTTTGGAGTGCTAAGAGAGTGGAGATTTTAGCCAACCAAATACATTATAGCTCAAAAGTATGTCAAAGATTTGGATAAATTTTATTTGGGCTTACCTATGATTCCGAAAATGGCTGCTATTATTTCAATAGTGTTCGGAACTTTACCGTCGATTGCTACATTTAGAATTGTCTGAATGATCACCTGGACGTTTGCTAGGGCGAAAACAGGACCTGCCAGTCCGCATGTCACAGCCATGTTCAGAAGTACTACACCAATGGCTGCCAACACTCCTGAAGCCACGATCTGTGCATACTCCGATAGTACAAACGGGTGGGACCCAAACTCAAGTGTCAACACCATTCAGATAATCAAGATGATGTTCGACCAAATGTAGCATGTGATAGTCAAGTCCACGGGGTTGTACGAGTAGTTCGTAGCAAGGTACCTGACTGTGAGTCCTCCGACTGAGAACGATATCGGACTGAGTATGCCAAATAGAATGGCAATCATCGAGTAGAACAGTGGACTCTGGCTATCTTCTGCAAAGTCGACTGTTTCTGCCTGACTTGAAGAGCCAAGCCCGAGTCCAACCACACACAGAACCATGAATATGATGCCAATTACCTAAAGTTGTCAGACCACTTACATGCCAAACTCTGAGTCTGTCACCGAATATGAAGTAGGCCATGAATGCTGAGAATATCGACGAAAACGAAAACAGACTTGTCAGGATTCCCTGGTTCATATTTGCGTATATTGCGAACTGGAAGGTAAACACAACCAAGAAGCCTGCAAGCACATTGTTGAGGGTGTAGCCGAGGGCGCCCCAGAGCTTGCACCAGTGGAACCCGTCGGTGTCAGGGTCTCTGAAGTTACTGAGTTGCCAGTTCCAGTATGGCTTGTTGTCGTAAAGAGCTTTGATGGCAGAGCAGAGACAGAATATGATGGCGTATATCAAAGAACCGTTTTCTGCCATTTCTCTGGTCAGCACTCCTAATCCAGCGTTTACTCCTAGCACATAATTACAGAGTGCGAATCAGACTCCAGCAAAGAATGCTAGAATGAGGCTCTTGAGCTCCTGCTTCTGAGGCTATAGCCATTACATGATCATCTATACCTCTTGTGTTGTGCGATCTTGTTGTTCCCTAGTCTGCTCCTTCTCTACTGGATTTTTGGAGGGTTCTTCCTCATCTATCTCAATTCTTTTGTACTCTCCGTCACTTTCAAGGTTGCTATAAGTTAAGAAACAAGGTTACATTTTGTCTTTAGTGAGATGCGACATTATTTATTTAAATTATAGGATTTATAGTTCTTCGAGTTTTGTGGTAATTCAACTTCAGAAGGGATTTTGGGGTTTTGGGGTTTTGGGGTTTTGGGGTTTTGGGGTTTTGGGGTTTTGGGG